TCTGTTATTATCTCACTCTGAGACACGAAGGAGTGTCAGAGTTAAGCTTGCTTCAACTGCTTTTTACGTCGTGGTCTCATTTCTGGACTCAGGCATTTTGTGAATGAAGCCGATATTTCAGTTAAAATACATAAGTAAAAATATTTATCAGAGTATAGTACTACCCCCCAACTTTATGGATGATTTTATGGATTAATTTTATGTATTAAACTTGAAAAAATACAGTAGTTCATTTCTGTTTATTTTATGCACTGTATTGATCCCCTGGCGGGGGATTAATTCTCTGCATTTTACCCATCGCACATGTGGAGCATTACACATGATCAACAATGATTTTATATAAATCTATTAACAGTTCTTTATGGTTTAAAATATGCTTTTTTCCAAAGTGCACTTCCAAGGTTTTAGGAATTCAGAGGAAACCTTACAAATTAAATTGTGTTTACTCTTTTTATTTTTAGTGACTGAAGCATTCACTATTGTGATTTTTTTCTTCCATGTGTTTTTTTGTTTGTTTGTTTGTTTTGTTTCCACAACTGTTGTGCTATTTCAAAAACCTATAGATGAAAACATTCATTCATGCTCATTCAGAACATTTTGACTATGACTTTTGGTAATTCCGCAATTTATACTATTTTATTTTTAATGTTAGCTAATTTTACCTTTTTCTCCATGAAATTAAATGGAGCTAAAACCCTTCAAAATATTTAAAAAATCTTTACCGGACGGTTTACATTTTGTTCTGGTTCTGCCTTTTTTAAAACTTCCTTGTATTAATTTCAGCTTCCTTTGGTTTCTATTTAGCTGACCTTAGATTTTATTTTCTGAATTTTTAGCTATCATTAGAAACTTTTCTGCTATTCTTCTGCTAATTTCAACTTCTTCTTTTGCTATTTTTAATTTTTAGTTGTTTCCTTTCACTTACTTTCTGCACACTTCAGCTTGTTCTGCCCCTCCAAGTACTTTTTATCTGGATTACTCTGCATTTTTCAGCTATTCTCTGCCTCTTGAAGCTTTTGTTGTCACAGTTTGGGTCGGCTCAACAAATTTCAGCAACCATTCTGGGATCCATCTCAATTGTTAAAAGTAAGCAAGCATTAATAGGTTTGCTTGGTTTAGTTTAATTTAATTGAGTTAAAAAAACATTCCTGCTTCTTCAGCAGCTTATTATTCATCAATAAGCATTCACACTGCATTTTTGCAGGAAATGCAGTTTATTAAATTGAGTTTATACATATTTTGTTTAAGTGTTAATGCAACTTTTTTTCTGTTATAATGTACAGAGCTGTGCAGTCCAGTTTATTTTTTTTATTTTTTAACAGCAGTGCAACAGGTAATGTTCCATGATTTAATCCTGTTTTCTTGTTCTGCAGGCGAATCCTTGTGTCTACACACACGTCTCAAGCATGATTATGAAAAAAGGAAACTAAGTCTCGCCTCTGCGTTGCACAAACAATGGACRTCTGGTAATAAGTGTACTCATGTGGGTGGATTATTCAGATTTGAGTTGGACCAGAATTCAAAAATGATAATAAAAAATGATTAGTTGTGCTTAAATCAGCCATTTTTTTCCCTTATAATCAAGAACCACCATTAAATAAAACATAGTCATAAGTTGATTGAGAGTTGTTTTTTGTTCTTTCTTCTTTAATGAGTATAACTTGGTCAGATGTGGGACAGGCCACTTGAGCTCCCTCATTACATGATCCCAGCTAATTCTTTAAAGCTCAGTTAACCCAAATTGAAAAAAAAATAATCTTTGGTGRAAAACTAGTGAGATTTATCTGCCCTGGTTTTGCAGAAGCAGCCTCTTCAAACAGAGGGAGTGGTTTTTGTTCAGCTAGAACTAACATGAATTCCTCCACTTTACATTTGGGATCTTTTTGTTTAATTACTGTATTTATTTGTGTAATACGATCTCACGTATAATATCATCTCATGTATAATACGACCCCCCTTTTTTTTACTTAAAAAGAATAAAAAATTAATCCTCAAACTACCTCCAATTTTATACAGACTTCAAGATTTTTCAGCCTTTGCAGTTTTTATACATATCAGTAAAATGATCATTGGACTGTTCATCTTATTTTAATATTTGCACTAAAAGGTATTTTGACAACAAATATATATCAGCTGTAGCAGCATCATATGGATTCTGGCGTTTTACACATAGTCCACCAGGAGGCGCCAACACAAAAGTCAGAGACTTCACATGAGATTTGGACCATCTTGTGGGGGAAAAGCAGATTACTTCCTACTCGCGAGCGCCCCCCTCTGGTGGGGAAACTTTTTTCAGGGATACAAACTTTTTCAGAACACCGGTAGACAGCAGCCATTACAGACGAACATGTGTTTGTTGTTCCAGGAGCGGCYCGRTCACACGCTAATGTCATTAGTTTGTTATCATTTCTGAGCTGCAGGACTGCTTTTTTCCCCTTTTTTCACATCATGTCGCCTGTTTGGATCTGTTACTGTCTCGGTCTGAAGCACGGAGGAGTGTCAGAGGTAAGCTCGTTTCAAATTCACATGGGATTTGGTCCATCTTGTGGGGGAAAAGCAGATTACTTCCTACTCGCGAGCGCCCCCTCTGGTGGGGAAACATTTTTTSAGGGATACAAACTTTTTCAGAACACCGGTAGACGGCAGCCATTACAGATGAACATGTGCTTGTTGTTGTCCCAGGAGCGGCTCAGTGACACCTAAGGTCATTAGTTAGTTATCATTACTAAGGTGCAGGACTGCCTCTTTTTCTTTTTTTTCACATCATGTCGCCTCCCTGGATCTGTTATTATCTCGCTCTGAAGCATGGAGGAGTGTCAGAGGTAAGCTCGTTTCAACTGCTTTTTACGACGAGGTCTCATTTCCGGACTCGGGCATTTTCAGAATGAAGCYGATATTTCAGTTAAAATACATAAGTAAAAATATTTATCCGAGTATAGTACTACCCCCCAACTTTATGGATGATTTTATGGATTTAATTTTACGTATTATACTTGAATAAATACGATAGTTTAGGTGTGGTTGCTTCTGGTTTTCAGGACATGGTATGTGGACATTGTGAAAGTTATCAAAAAAAAAAAGGCAGGATGAATCTGCAAATGTTTTAAAACCAAGAACATCTAAATATAGTCCGTCAGCGTTTATGTACAGGGGTGCAAACAAAATCGTGTCGAGTGGCCATCTTTCAGTGCACAAAGCCATAAACAGGGATACAGCCCAACATTTAGATTTGTTAGCCATTAAAGACGGCTGTAAGAAAAGAACTGAGCAGCCTCTTAAAACTGGACTCAGAAATACAAGAGACCTCTGGGAAATAAAGCTTTGGCAGATGTGAACCATTGTAGCCGCAGTAAAAATTATATGACGGCAATTTTCTTTCAACCTGAAAGTGATACCCAGCTCATCTAATCGTGTTCCAACTCAGCATCCTTCCTAATTCTAACAGGACCTTTGTTCCAACAAGTTTTCACAGCTTTTGTGCACGAGACACAGAAATCTTTGGTGGCTTGGAGGATAAACTCTATTAATGTTTTATACACTTAGACGATAAAGCTGGCCACCTTTATGTCTTTTTTTAAAGTTTATTGCAGAATCTAGCAACTATCATTAAGCATGAAGGGTTTGAGGTGCCAAATAGCTCAGGCAGGTTGACACAAAGCWTCCCACATCGATCTGAATCAATGCRAACTCTATAGTTTTCCCCTCTTGGCAGGTTCTCTAAACTTAAATGTGTGTAAATGAATACATTAGGGTGGYATCTCACYGAGCTGTGACAGTTGGGAGACGAAGATGCTCATAATCGTGGGAAAAATTATGAAAAAATGCACATTTTACAGCTGCAGCCTCACTGAGCTACTAACATTTGCAACCAAATGACTGGTGGTTGCATGTAGTGCAGACAGGTTGTGAAAACGACAGCCTGTTTTTATTTGCACAGCTTGTAAAACTGTTTGATTGGTCATGCATATTATTTTGCTGTCATTGTATTGATTTAATGTGCCGGAGTTCACTTTTGAAATGTAAACAGGCAGATTTCAACTAGGTTTTAATAATTATTAATCATAATATGTAAAATRGGGCTGTGCACTGGCAAGAACAGAGGTCACAATATGATCCTATCGCAGTCGTCATATATTGCGATACTGTATATAATGCCTTTTTCCTCCAAAACATTCTAATAATACATGAATAAAAACCTCAGTATAAAGTGTACACTACGCAATCARTTCAGTTAATTTTTATATGCAATCAGAACACTGAACAACAGTGAGAACTGTTTGTATTTCCTATTTCCTCTTACAACATCCATTGGTTTAGCCTTAATTAAAAACCAATACAGTGCTTTTGAGAATCGATACAGTATCAGCAAAATAAATATAGTGATATTTCAGTGCATCCCTAATAATATATTATAATAATGATATTACAAAAAATATATATCAGACGTGGACGATGGAGCCAGATGTTTCCTGTCAGAGGAGAGGCTCTTATCTGTGCGGGAGTTAAAATCCGGCTCATAAAACGGGTTGGCCACGCCTGCAACTTAATTCAGATTAATCTGAAATGGTTTGGAATTACYCAGGACAACTGTGGGACTATTTTGAAGAGAAAAGTTGTTGCACTTTAAAAAACCCAAGTGCACCTCAGTGAAGAAGTCCCCAGAGACATCTTGGATATCGTCACAACCCAGTGAGATATTATCAACTTGGTTTATACTTAAAAGTTTAAAAAAAAGGTATTTTGAATAAATGAGTTTAAAGTCCACCTGCCTGGAACACCTTGTAAAGAGCCCCTGTCAGGATCCAGAAAGCATCTAATGAAGATGAGATCTATGATCTTGAGGGGATAAAAGAAGGTAAGTGGAGTGGCTGATTGATGGCTACACGGACCCAAGGCAGCWGAGAAAGGTGGATGTAATGGAGTGGAGAGAAAGGAGGGGAAGGCTAAATGAATAATGAGGATGTGGAGGACTGATGGGGACGTGCAGTGCTGCTGTATACCTCCTCCAAATCACGCTGCYGCCGGCGGCTGATGGGAAGCGTGAACCCGGATCCCTCCGCCCGCCATCACCGCCTCTCCGCCGGGGACTTCCTAATTGCTTTGACACCTTGGGTGTGTGACGTCCCTGGTCCTCATTCCCGTGCTCAGGTAACGTGCAGGTTTTTGGGTTCTCCTCTTACTAGTAACTCTTCAAATAAATGTTTATGTTTTGAGGAGAGAGACGGAGGAAAGAGCATCCGCGCGCTTTCATCTGGAGAGAGATCCGCTGRAAGGACGACTGAGAGGCGCAGGAGTGCGGCTGGTGCTGAGCTCAGACGCTTAGGTACAAAAAATAAATAAATAATAAATAAAATAATAATAATAATGGATCACAAAAACATCACCTTCCACTTCCACCCGAGTCCAGTCACTGGCGAGAACATGTAGAGTCCTGGAGGAGAAAAACGCGAGCAATAAGTCATAGTTTCACCTCCGGGCTGGGTTGTTTTTAAGCCGCTCCGCCCCTCGCTGCTGTTCCTTTTCCGGTAGCTTTTCCTTCGCGCTGTCCGCCCCGAGCCCCCGCCAGAACTCTCAGCCGGGAGCAGCAGCGGCTGGCTCCGCGGAAGCTGTCGGTCAGGACAACCGTTACACTGACGAGGCTGGAGCACGTCACGGCATTCTTTAGCTGAGCTTCGTCACGTGACCCGGTTACTCGCTTGCGATGCGTTCAAGGGCTGTAGGTGAAAACAGCACCGCGCTTTCCACACAAACGCGGCGTCAGCGTCTACCGTGGCTCCTGTAAAAATACATACAGAAACACCAGATACTGGCTTGTAACGTTGAAAAACCTGGTTAGCTAATGTTTCTTATTTAGTTTAATTTGGATGACAGCAGGGAAATGAAAAGCAATGAGGAGATCACATTTAGCACAGTTTATACTCATTTATGTACAACTTTCCTGGTTTATTTCAGTTCACTATAGACATATGTGTCAAATTCAAGGCCCGCGGGCCAGATGTGGCCCACCAGGGGGGGGGTACCCGCCTCAAAAATAAACAAATAAATACAGAAAATGTATTTTTGGTACCACTTTACAATAAGGCTCCCTTTATAGATGGCTTGTAAAAAGGTTATAGATAGGTTATTGATTCATCTGTAAACACTTTATAAATCATTAATAAGTGTTCTGGACGGGTTCTTCTCTAATGAAACTTTCATTGAAAGTTTCATTAGAGAAGAACCCGTCCAGAACACCTATACAATTTTTTTTCCTTTTGATTTTTTACCTGGATTATTGAGATGCATCAGGAGATTAATAAGTGTTTATCATGCATTAATTAAGAATAAGAAAAAGACAAAACTGTCTGGTTTCTTGCTAAACAATGAGCCAAAGCTGTTCATGTACATATTATAAAGTGTTATATTAAACATTTCACACTAGGTTAACTTGTAAGCACAATAATGTATTGGAAACACATTTACATTACGTACACTATTTATTAATGATTAATAAATCAGCCTTATAAATAGTGTACAGTCTTACAGTTTACAATAAGGCTCCCTTTGATAGTTGTGGATATGTATAATACAGCAATATTATATGTAAAATATGTGTTTCCAATACATTGTGATTACAAGGTAGTAACCTAGTGTGAAATGTTTAATATAGCACTTTAGATAGCTGTAATGTGTACATGAACCGATTTGGCTCACTATTTGACCAAAAGCCGGACAGTTTTGTCTTTTTCGTCCTTAATTAATGCACAATAAACACTCGATGTATAAAGTGTTTACAGATAAATTAATAACCTATCTATAGTATTTATAAGCCATCTGTAATGGAAGCCTTATTGTAAAGTGGAACCGTATTTTTTTAACTTAACATGGAATGTGTTTCTTATATCAATGGTAAACTTTAAATTTATGATTAAATGTAACAAAATAAACTTAAAAGGTGAAAGATAATAACAACTGTCCTGCCCCTGAACTGTTGGCTTCAAGTAACCGAGCAATTTAGTTGGATAGCAAAGTCTGAAAATAAGCTGCTTTAAAGTCAGCATCAACCATAAACTAAATCTATGAAGCATAGCTACTCATCAGTGAGAAAAACTTTATTAGTTTTACTTTTAATAATATTTCTGTATTTATTTCAGATTTAGTCAGTCGTAAACTTAGTTCTTATCAAAGTTTAAAAGAGGACGTGTTAAAACTCTGTTTAGTCAAAGTTAAACATGAAACATCAAAGTTCATTATAACTGGCCCTTAGAGGGCCACCATAACGCTCCTGTGGCCCTCGGTGAAAATGAGTGTGACACCCCTGGCCTATTAGGTTAACAGTTTCATAAAATATCACATCTGACAGTGGATTCTAAAGGAACAATATAAATCCTACAAAATAAGAGAGTATTATCTTAAGTATTAATGAAGTTATGAATGTTTGTTTAGGTGAAATCAAGCTCTTGATTTCTGCCACAATTCGTAGGGTCATAGTGACCATTTTGCCTTTTTCTCATCTATTGTTGGTCATAACTTCCTTAATGTTCAAGATATTGCCATGCGATTTAAATAAAAGATCCACATTCTGCTTTTTGTGGGAAGCATTTTATCCTAAAAACCATAAAAACATAAAATCAAATGTACAAGTATCAGAAAATGTATAAAATAATGTTTTAAGGCTCATCTCACCAAACATCTTGCTGAGTCTTGGAAAGCCGGGAAATAGTACCATTTAAAAACTATGTGGGCATTTGTTTTGCAAACAAAGCTCCTCAACCATGTGAAATGTGTCAAGTGATAAAGATGCGCGTGAACGCATGCAGCATGTTAAAAACTAGTTTTACGTTTAAACAAAGTTGGAGGGAACATTAACTGTTGTTGATTTGTAAACCTATTACACAATTCTGCATGACAAAAATCCTATTTTTATATATAACACTAAAAAAATGACATAGGCCATAAAAAAACTATAAAATAAAAAATAAAATCTGATAAGACACATTTTAAGAATCATAAAACTTAAAAATTATGCAAAAATGTTAAATTCACATGGAAACATTGTGTTTTTGATTCAAGTGCATACTGAAAACAAAATCTCACAATTTCCTTTCATGAACTATAAAAAACATACGTCTAAAGACCAAAAATATCACAACCCCTTGAATTCCAACACGCAAAAAATTAACAGAAAAAGTAAGGCAAGTTTGTTTTTGCTTGACCTCCATCATTGTGACTTTGCAGTCACATCCTATAAGTCTGTGTAGAATATGTTTCCTATACGAATTCAGCAATATTCACTGGTCATTGTTATGTGTTTTTCTTTTAAGTTAAAACTTAAATCAAACATAAAACTCATGCAGTTTTGCATACACATATATACACACACACATATACACATACATACATACATACATACATACATACTGTACATACATACACATACATACAGTATACA